GAGACGGCAGTGGAGCCAATCAGCTGGGTGTAGCAGAGGAGAGCAGTCGCGCCGTGGTGGTAGCAGTGGAGGAACGCTGTAGAGTGTTAGTCTTGAGGGTTACACAAGGCTGGGGAGGTGCGCATACTCAGAGGCTTCTTCTTGAGGAAGAGGAACACGGTGTCGAGCAGCTCCATGTACTTGGTGAGGTAGGTCATCTAGGCTTGTCAGCTGGTGTCAACGGCGCGCGAGTCGATTGGAACGTACGTAGTAGAGAACAACGAGAGGCTGGGTCCAGCCGCCATCGGCGTGGCAGATGGAGTGGAAGATGCCCTTGCGAACGACAGTGGGCAGGAGCTCCTCAATGTAGAGAGCGAGGAGACCGGCGCTGATGAGGGTGAGGATCAAGTTGTGGGCGAGGAAAAGACCCTTGAGCTTGTAAGGCTCGCGGTTGCGCATCCACTCGCGTCCTCCAAAGATGATGGTGTAGTAGATGATGACGAAGATGCCGGCCTGCTTGATGGTCGACATGGGCGTGACGCCAGGCTGGAATCTGAACTCGCTCACGGGGTAGCCCACGATGGGAGTCCAGACCTTGTCGAGAAGAGGCCATAGGTGGATGCCAAAGGGGCGGTCGAGCGTGGGGAGAGGCAATTGCTCGTAGAACGAGGAAGGTGCTTGAGTGGCCGCCATCTTGAAGGTTGATGGTTTTTCGTCGAGCTCGATGGGAGAGAAGAGCAGACGAGAGAAAGACGGTGTTGTGGCGCGATTATCTACTTGCGAAGATTTGCGACAAGGTATTCGGTTACCGTGGGTCTTTCGATGGGGGTTACCCTGTGGACTCGACACGGAAGACGCGGGTTGATGGGATGGAGGAAGTAGAGTGTGTTCTACTCAGCAATGCAGCAGCAGAGCGGTTCGATCGACACGGCCCAGAAAAGAGGCAGGAGCCTAAGGAGTGACGACAAATAATGTAGGGGAAGAGAAGGAGAAAAAAAAGAAGAATTGCAGAAACGCGCTCTCTCGCTCTCTCTACCCGCCGCGGTACACCCGATGAAAGTCTGGAGAATTTGAGACGCGGGGAGGGGTCGGAAGGGAGGTGATCAGACAACGGGAAAACGCCACGGGCACGAGTTGGCTTATGAGGAGAGGGAAGAAAAAAGGAGGACGGGGAAGGACACGAGCAAAGCAAGCAAGCAGCAGCAGGCGGCGATGCGAAAAGTTGTTGAGATGGTCAAAAGGGGAAAATTCCGATCCAGAAGGTCAAGGTACCCTGTACTTGTTGCGCAGCCTTTTTCGCGGCCCTCATTTGATCGTGCAGCATGTGATTCGCTGTCAGACCCTAGCGTAGCCAATCATGGGCCGTGCCTGGGCCTATGCTCATTTGGGTACCTGGTCGTCCAGCGTATCCACCCACGTCCACTCGACGTTTCCAAGGAACTGTACCCGTACGGAGTACCTTGCTGCTACTGCTGTAGGCGAACACGTGACCCGACTATGTCACCGGTCTGTCCGCCTGAGTACCTTAAAAAGTACCTACCTACGGATACAGGAGACGTAAAGTACGGGGAACAAGATGCCGTAAAAGGCCGTGGGCTGTACCTTATTCATCGTCTTGATTGACTGGATAGATGCTCCGGTTGGGCTTACGTCGTCCGGATACTGCGGTTCTCCAATGCCTGTTCTAACCTTGGCAACACCACAAAACGTCCTGCAGACAACGCGGGCCGTTGCAACCCAGTCTTGGAGGCCTTGCAGGTTGGTTGTTGGAGAGGTCTTACTCTTTGGAGAGGCCTTGGGTTACGCTGGACAAGGTCCAGTTAGCAGTCGGGCTAACCCACTGCCAATTCGACCTAGCCCCAAAACAACCGTCACGGCCGCATGTACCGAGTACCTCGACTGCTCGTGATGCATATTGCAATCTCGGAAGTTTAGGCTACGTTGCCAATTGCACAGCGTAGACGTCGCGGGACGAGACGAGAGTCAGGTCTTTTTCGTCTGTACTATCTGTAGACTGCATCCCGTATCCATAACAGATTGCCTATGCAAGCAGAAGGAGGGTCAATAAAACACAATTGTTCCTCGGCTCCGGCAACCCAATTGACCTTGTAGTCGAGACTAATCAGCTGTCTCCCACGATGATCGAATCTCGATGGGGGGAACGTGCTGGATGCCGTCACAATCTCCGGCTTCTTGGTCCGGTCACCTCCGGCCCCGTGTCTTCTCCCCCTTCCGTCCCAATCAGCCTTTCCCCCCTTGAAGAGAAGCCGTGCAGCGTGTGTACCTTGGTTGTGAGGATGGGACGGTCGGTGCAACGGAGCCTTGAGTTTGCTCCCAACTCCGGCCCGGGGAATTGGTGCCTCGTGTCCATTGCGGGAACCCCCGGGGGGGCCTTACGAGATCCGAACAAAATCCCCGTGGTTCGCGCGTCCCAATGGGCTGTCACATCCCGGGGGGAAGGTTGAAGAAACACCATACACCTTTTTCCAGGGTTTCTGGGGAACCAGTGAGAGCCTGGAGGATGAGTATGACCATTTCCAGGTTCGGGGGAGAATCGTCCACAGTGGCCTGATGATGGACACTCGTGCGAACACCGCAAACACTGTGTTCATCCGCTGGTGATTATACGTCAGGTACCCTCAGCCGAAACACAATTCACACGGCCTGGAGCTTCACAGCTCATTGGGCTCCCCCCAAAAAAGCACCCAAAAGCTACCGCTTAGTCATCCGATCAAAATCTCGCAGAATCCAATCCTTTTTCGTGCCTACCAAACCACTCCAACCACATCATCCGACTCAATCCCGAACGAAACGCCCGTAGCTTTCGCGAAAAAAATAATCCTCCTCCTCTAACGTCACCGACGCAACAAACCTCCCGCCCTCCCACCTTCGGTCGACCCGCTTGCTACCTCTCCTCTCTAATCGAAAAAGAAAACCCCCCAAAAATGTCTGCCTCTATCCTCCGCGTCGCCGCCCGCGGCTCGACCAGCTTCTTCCGCGCGAACCCCATCCGCCAGCCTCTCGTCGCCCGTTCCGGCATGCTCCTGCCCATCGTCGCGGGTGTCCCGGCCGCCAGCAACTTCAGCACCAGCGCCCGCCTTCGCTCCGGCGATCACGCCGAGGAGACCTTCGAGGAGTTCAGCGCGAGGTGAGCCATAATTCGACATCTTGGGATTGGGGTGTGGTTTTTCGAAGGGGGGGTCGTGCGGTTGGAGGGAAACTCTCGGGCGAGAGGGACGGTAGGGATGGGGGTGTTGGGAAGGATTGGGCCTTTTTTTCGCCCGCCAACCATCATGCCACCATCTCCATCCTCCATCCGCGCGACAAAGCCATTGACCCCCCTCGACCCTCGGACTCGTTTCTCAATTGGCACCGCTAACTTTTGGACCATAGATTCGAGAAGGAATTCGATGGCGTCCAGGACGTTTTCGAGCTTCAGGTACGGCCTCTGACAATATGACCCTCGGGATCTGAACCTAGTCCCCCTACTACCTACCTACCCACCCCCGGCAAAGTGGTCTGATGGGGCGAGGCTGACTCTTTTCCCGCAACAAACAGCGTAACCTCAACAACGCCTTCGCCTACGACTTGGTCCCCTCCCCCTCCGTCGTCGCCGCCGCTCTGAAGGCCGCCCGTCGCGTCAACGACTTTGCTACCGCCGTCCGCATTTTCGAGGGTATGCATTCTTCTTTCCCCCCATTAGGTCTCGTCGTTGCAGCCATGCAATGTGCACCGCTGTTTCGGCTTCCGCGGGCCCTGCACAACCGATTGACCGAATTCCCAACTGACACAAACCCAAACAGGCGTCAAGGCCAAGGTCGAGAACAAGGGCCAGTACGAGCAGTACCTCGAGGAGCTCAAGCCCCTGAGGGAAGAGCTCGGCGTCTCTCTGAAGGAGGACATCTACCCCGAGGAGAAGAACTAAATTGTTGCATCTTCTCTAGTTCAGCAAAACGAAAAGAGGGTTATAACGGAAGGGCCTAAATCGATTCATTGAAACCGACGTCACCCCGGCTAGGGCCAACCAAAACATCAAAACTCGAAATCCAACTTGTATATTTCTACAGGAGCAAAGAGGAAGTAGAAGAGAGGAATGGGAGGAGCAAACCCGACAGAGTCTGCTTGCCGCGTGTGTTGTGTCTGTGTGTGAGAAGTCTGATAGAACGGGGGAGGAGTTTTTTTTTTGGTATTGTGTGATTTTCCCAATCAAAGTCCCATGTACCATCTTAGACCTCTGCTCAATTTCATATGTTACTACTGAAAAATCTGCGAAGCTATAGAGATGCTCCTCGAATGTAGGAGAAGTTGACATACGAAAGACTCCCCATCTGCCCAAGATAACCCATCATGAAAGGATCTTTTCGTTGATTCGGCATAAGGTAGGCTATTCGAAAAGCCCTTCGAGCTCCCGCTGTTCAAACTGTCCCTCTACACTTCCATGAAACCTCCAAAATCATCTTTCATGGGAGGCAGTCATGACGTTGGACAGGCAATTGAGCCAATTCAGTGGGGAGCACTGGGACCTGCATTCCGACGTCTCCGGAATGCAACGCCTCGAATGCACCAAGTCACAGGTTGCCAACTCCTCACCACCACCGAGACACCCACCAAGAGATCCTTGCAGCATACAGCCATCTATTTACTAACCAGCTCACTCGCAACCCCCAGAGCCAAGGCATCGAAACACAGCGAAACCCCTTAATGGTATCTTTCTCTAAGAGTAAGGGAACCATAAACCGAGCCCCTCGATAACACGGTACACATACAAATCAAGACAACGACGTCCATCCTCTCCTCCCAATCTCCAAACCCTCAAGACCCCATCGCCACGCAACACCACCACCCCCCGTTGATTTCAGGTACATAGGTACGTAGAAAAGCTCACCCTTCGCCAATATCTCTGTACGTAATTACCCTTTAGTAGGGTATACTAGCATATATGTATCTCTTTGGTTTAATCCTGTACTGGGACCCTTTAACCATGCAAAACTTTTGCTGGAAAAGGGACACCCCATCTACGCTCAGTCCCGCAAATGGGGCCATCTGTTGTTGGCCGAGTTATTAAAAAACTGCAGGCCAGCGACAGGCGTACCACCGCCAGACTCATGCGGCGTAGGCGACGTCCCACGACTAGCCGAACCACCACCACCACCACCAGCCACGCGTCCCGTCCTCGGGCTCATGACGCTCAACCGCGGGCTTCGAGGAACGCTCTGCTGCCTCGTCTCTCTGCGTCCGTTCTTGAGCGCCCTCAGCTCCTTCTCCACGCGCGCGAGCTCCTTTTCGCGGTCCTTGGTGATGGCCTTGGTCTCGGTAATCTGCCTCTGCATCTCCTTGACCTGCTGTCCGGCATTGGCAGTGACGTTGAGGACTTGCGCGAGGTTGCCCGGGGCCGACGATTGCATCGCGGCAACCTGTTCCTTGAGCTCGCGGTTCTCGCGGGAGAGCTCGCTGTTGGAATGGTTGGCTGTCTGATAGGCGTCTCTTGCGTAGCTTAGCTCGCCGTCCCGGCTCTCGAGCTTCTTCTCGAGCTCCGCCACCTTGGCCAAGGCCTTTTCGAGCTCTGATGTCTTCTCTTTAAAAGTCTCCGTCGCGACGGAACCGGCGTTGACGAGGGCTTCTTCAAGAGTGGCGCTCTTCACCTTTAACTGCTCTTCGAAAGCCTGTGCCTTGTCTTGCCACTCACGGCTCTTCTCCAGAGCCTGATCCTCCTTTCTCTTTGCTTCATCCCGCTCGGCCTCGAACTTGGCTCGTTCCCGAAGCGCGGCCATGTGCGCCGCCTGAATGGAATTGGTGGTCTCGTCGTAGCTCTTGACTCTTTTGAAGAGATTGGTGAGCTGTTTCTTGAGATTGGATTCCATGGTGTTCGCCTCCTCTAGTTGAAGCTTGAGTTCGGACACCTATCCACTTGTCAGCACATTTCCCATGTTGAACCGAGTCAACGCTCCCTACCTTGGTCGTCAGAGTATCCAGGTGCTCCTGCGTTGTTTGGATGTGTAGTTGTGACGGTTTAGGATTCAGCTGACTGCGAACCGCTGCGTCAATGTCTCCCGGCTCTTGTCCAGGAAGAGGGCTAACTCGCAGGCGTTTGACAGCTTGCTGCGGCTCGGCATCCTAAACACTCGATTAGCACCAATCTTACAAAAGTGAAGGGCAACTCACAGTCTTGCGCTTGCGGGTTGGCTCCTCTGCCTGACTCTCGGGTTGACTGCTGGAGTACAAATCGAGAACAGAGGAGGGGATAAGCTCGGGGTCCCAGTCGAAGCCGGGGTCGGGAAGGATTGCTTGGTTGGCAAACGAAGCAGCGTAGTGGTCAATCATCACCCCCTGGTTATCTCTTTCGTCCAGATAGCTCATCTTTCTTGACTGACACACGGCGATGCACAGCGCATTTTGACGCATCAAGCCCTTGAAGTCCGACGGCAACAGTAGCTCCAGATGCTCGATAGAGCACGTCGTCGTGAGCCTCAGCAGCATCGGCTTCTTCCCATTCATCTTGCCCCATTGGTCGACAAGGTCTGTCTGCATGACACCGTTGTCGAATCCAACGACAACGTCAAAGTCGCTCAGGTCGTCAACGAGAGCCTGCTGGGCGTGTACGAGAACGACGAGCAGAGAATGCTCGTCCTGGCTTTCCAGCTCATGCAGACCCTTCAGAGAGTACGCCATCTCCCCAGTTCCGACAATGGCCTCGAGGTACCCGATAATGTTGATATCGCGCGCGACAATGAGGATTTTCTTGTGGCTCGTCTGCAGTCGTTCGAGGAATCTGCCCACGAAGAAGAACTTGCTATTGGTGCCCATGGCATGCTTCTTGAGGTCTTCTGCGGACAAGGCGTCAATAGAAGCACCGTCAAGAAGTGCGGGCACGTCGCAAATGTCGCGAAGCTGGTTGAACATTTTTTCAATGGACTCCACCGTCTTCTGATCGACGACTTCTTCCTCAGACTGCATGTCCTTGGTGAACTGCTCAATCACATTGCGATAGGCCTTGATGGTGCTCCGGTACAGGGGCCGAATGTTTGCTGGGAACGAGAGCGTGACCAGGTAGTCACTCTGATCCACGGCCGTCGGAGGGCCCGAAATGTACGGCTCTTCAATGTCTGGCGAGGTTACAGTGCTCTGGTCGCCTGCGGTGGTCTGGTCTTCCGGCAGCATGTCCATAGGATGGTCATCGGGTTGAGGAAGTGTGTTTGAGGCCTCTTCAGGCTCGACTGATCTGCTGATGTCTGAGGGGGATATGGTGATGGGCAGCTGCTCGGCCGATTCAGGCGGCATGAGATTGCTGGGGAAGATGTCTCCCATGCTAGCTGTCTGGGGCTCTTCGTGGATCAGAGGCTGCATCGTTGGCTCGACGGGGGCACCGACAAGTCCAGGCATGTCTGTAGACGACGTGACTGGCTCGCCCATATTCCAGTCTCCTGTGAGAGGTAGCTGCGAGTTGATCTGGATGGATGGGTGGTCCATGGGTGCCGAAAATGCGAGGTCGCCTGCGCCATCTTGACGGATCTGGGCCGACTCAGTCGTCGGACTCGTCAATCCTCCCTCGGTCAATGTGCCTTGCAATGCAGCTTCTTGAATTCTCATCAGCTCCTCTATCGCCGAGAGTGGTTCGTCGCCCGAAGTATGCATGGCTGGAGGTAGACTCAGCGGCCGATGGTCCTGAGACCTGTTGGGTGACGAGGGATGAGGAGGAAGTGACCGTCTTTCGAAGCAAGTCTGAAAACTATCGGCCTCGGAAACCTCGTCCTCGCCGCGCTGTGATGGTGCAGCGGCGATTGCCTGAGAAAAGGCGAATGGAGGCGACTCTGAGCTGGCAACCGTGGCACTGAAGCGTATCGTGCGTGAAGGTCTTCGACGAACGGTGTCGGGAACCACGTGCCCGTCTGCGCAGCTTTGACTTGCGGAAATATCTGGGAGAGGTTGAACGACTTGAGCGGCTTGGGTGTTTTGGCTGGGGCGTGTATCAGAGCAAGCAATGATTTGCTCAGTCGCCCACTCCTGATTGTCGGTGTGTCGTTGCGACTTGCTGGAGGTGCCGTCGGACGTGCTCTTCGCCGAGGAAGTCGCTTGAGAAGTTGAGGTGTCGAAATCAAAGGCAGGCTGGGTGTGGAAAATAGGCGTCCTGGCAGACTGTGACTCCTGGGGATAATCTCCGATGGCGGAGGCCTCAGTCTGTTCAACGACTTGTAGTTCGTCGACCTGATGCGATGGAATTGACGTATCAGAGACCGAGGGAAGGGAGTCGTGTTCACGTGAGGCGCGTCGAGGTGGCTGCGATGCTGCTGCAGGCTCTGCAATGGAATGCCGATGAAAAGGTGAGGCTTGCTCGAGGTCAAAGCTTGGGCCCTGGCTTGGTTGAGGGCTGTTCTGTGTCAAAGGGATGTAACCCGACGATACCGGCGCCGGTGGGTGATCCTGAGAAGACGGACGAGGCGACTCCAAGGGCGTCCGGCGGACAAAGAAGTGTGAACGGTGATCCGGTGCACTCAGAAGTCGGGCCTGGGAATCCGTAGACTTACTCAGGGAGGTCCTGAGACTAGACTGCTTTTGCGAATCCGAGATCTCACGCTCGGTGTTGGCACCCCCTTTGTTGCTAGTCGAAGCTCCTTGTTTGCTAGAATACGGTGAGTCCTGGGTATCGAATGCCGAGTACTCTTGCGAGTCGGGGATAGTCCTTTGACTGAGGCTCTCCGTGATCACAACTTGGCTGTCCTCGTCTTCAAGGGCCGAGATGGGTTGAGAGCCGAGCGAGGTCGACCCTTGCGAGTCGGATATGCTAATATATTCTGAAAAGTCGCGATCTAATTTTGAGGGAATCGCCACGAAGAAGCTGGCCGTGGTGTTGTATGCAACATCCGAGGCAGCGTCAGTATCAACCTCTGAAGCCGACGACAGCAAGGAAGGAACCTCACTAGGGTATCGCTTCTGCTGCGGTGGGTTCGGGTCGTTGTCCGAGTCTCGATCCTGCAGGTCTTCCGACTGCCTAGATTGCGGTCTCCTGCGTCTATTTGCCGTCTGCACAGGTTGACTACTGTCGATCGAGCGGATGGACGGAGTATGCGCCGGTGAGCCCTGCTGTACGACACCCTGGACGTCTCGCGATACAGATTGTCCTGAGCGCGCGGGGTGATCCTCCTGATAGAGCAAGTCGAGTTTTCTTTTCCAATCGAATATCGCCTTCAAAGTGACGTCCTTGCTTGGGGCCTGCTTTGGGTCAGCAACAGCTCTGATGAACATGGGGGGGGGGCACTAATAGACTTACCCACGTGGGACGGTATCGCTCGCCGGTTTCCGGGTTGTCTTTCCAATCGACGAGATATTCAATGCCCGAGCCGCTTCGCCTTTCTTGTAGAATATCCTTAATAATATACCATTCCTCCTTTGGCTGTTCCTTGTGCTTCTTTGGGGGGCTGGAGCTGCGGCGCGAGTCCCTCGGCATTGACGAGTCGCGATCCACCTCAACAGAGGTGGTGTGTTGTTTTGGTGTTGCTCGTGGGTGCGGCGGATTGGGCTTGCGTATGCGGTTTCGGGTCCATAGGTATCGCTGGTCTTGGGGGAATGCGCGTCAGGTTGTGATTTGTCTAGGCAAAGTCTCTAGAGGGGGACCTACACGGGTCGCACGCGAGGCTGCCGTTGCTATCGCAGCTCATGAGCTCAAGCCGCCCGAGATGGAAAGACCACAGCGGGTCCACCTGCAGCCTGCCGTGGCTGGGTGCACGAGCCACAGTCTCGGCCAATCAGACGTCGCCGACAGCTCACTGGATCTGAGGCAGTTGAAGGAAGTGGTCGACGCCGTCTATCAATGTCTCTGGCACAATTGCGACGGCTCAAGGTGCGAAAGTAGGTGGAAGAGCAGTGTGCGAGGAGAGAGGCAGCGGCTGGCACCTGTACCCCTGAAGGTTAATAAAGGTGGATGCCTGGCCAATTTGATCCGTCCGTTGCATTGACAGTATTCAAGCTCTCGGCCCTGACACTTTGGGAGGGCAGAAAGATCATGGACCAAGGATAGCCTTATCACAAAGAAACCTCGAATCTAGGGAAGGCATTCATTAAACCATTCATCAAGTCCACTAGTGGTGCCAGTGCTACATGTACTCAGAGAGCTCCCATTCACGGACCGGTCAACCCGTAGACTCCCCCTTCTTCATGACAACAGCGCTGAATTTTGATCGTCGTAGATATCTCATACCGTGAGCCACATCAAGTCTCTTTTTACGTGTGATATACACGAGTCCCTGGTGACTCCTTTTCCCCCGCGCCGCGATGAAATCCAGAATAACTTTTTTTGATCGTTGCCCCGTTCATACGTAGCCCTTGCGCGCGCCCTGGAAGAAGAAGCGAACGATAAAAACCTGCAGAGCTCCCATCAGAACGATGAGGGCGCACTGGATCATGCTGAAGTTGATGATGCGGCCTTCGGTGCTGCGGACGGTGCTGAAGTTGCGGTTCTCCCTGGTGCGGAAGTACTTTTGGCCTCTCGAGATGGTTGAGAGCTGGCCGGAGAGCTTGAAGATGGTCTCCTCGAGGGTGGAGTGCTGTTCGGGAGAGGCACCCTGCTTGGCGGGAAGCTGAGCGCGAACCTCGTTCTCGACCTGGATTGACAAGGGGTCAGCAATGTTGCTTAAGTTGGGAGGGGACCACATACGGCAATCTCAAAGTCGACAAACTTCTCGGCAAAGGTACTCATCTCGTTGTTGAAGCAGAACTCGTAGTCACCCATCTGTTGGGCCGTGAAGACAAAGTCGCCCTGGCGCTCCTTGACTCCATCGAGGATGATCTTGTTGCCCGGTCCGGTCACGGTGTAGTCGACATCGAAAGAACCACCAGATTGGACCTGTATGCATCGTGATTAGCTTGGTGCAGAATTTCGAGGTGGTGATGGGGCTGATGTCGACGTACGGCAAAGTAAAAGGCAATCTTCTCGTTCTCCTTCTGAGTCTTGGCGTAGAAGCAGGCCTTCTCGTTGGCGTGGAGCTTGTAGGTCAATGCAGTGGCAGCGACCTGGGAAACGAAGCAGGCAAAAAGCCCGCAGGCAATGGCGGACACCCTCATGATGTGTTGTAGCGTGGGGAGAGTCCTGGGTGGGCGCGTGAGGGTATCTCTCGTCGACTCTTGCAGCAGGGGATTCCGGACAAGCTGTCGCCAAAAGGGTCACTTAGAACGGGCCACGATTGAAAGTTCGGCGCGGAAAATTGGCGCCGCTACACGCCCCTTGGGAGCACGCACGGGCCAAGCGGAAGCAGCTGCACACCTCAGTCTGCGGGAGAACAAGGTGGCACCTTCTGTTCAGTCCCCATAGCTACCGCTAAGCACCCACGCACCTAAGGTACCTTGGAGCTCTTCACCAGCCACGCTCACATACAGGCGGGAGGTGGCTTGTTATCGCGCATCGGTGTTTCAGCGCGTACGGGGCATTTCATTAATCAGTGACCTCATCTCTCCAGAGGTCAGCTAAGCTGTCACGTCACGTCTGGCTGAGCTTCCCATCCACCTCTGAGAGGGCAGGTCCACGGACGACCTACCTTACCACCTTCTATCAAACCTTCTTCCATTGTCTCGTCCTTTCTCTCCAATACCCAGCTGCAAGGGAGGCAGCTCTTGCCTTTTGTTTTCCTCTCACAGACGATCCCTGCAAACTTTTTATTCCTCCACCAGTTCAATCTTTTCTCCATCTCACCATCTACTGCTAATTTCCACTTCACATCTACCCACTTCAACGGAGCTCTCGGCGTCATGGCGGTTCAGACGCGTATTGCAACCACATCCTCAATCGCGTTGAGAGTGGTCTCGTACCTCTTTCTGCGATGGGTAAGTTCTTCAAGTTCCTCTTTTAGCAATTGGTCGCTAATCATTGGATGCAACTCTAGTTTCCCGGCCCAGTAAGTTCCACTTATTCCCGAGCGTTTGACTCTCCAGGCTTGGCGCATCGTGCTGATCATGGTGTAGGCTGCTGTGCCCATGAGCATCTTCGCACTCTTTGCAGTCTTTGTGCCCTCCTTCGTGTCTGGCTACATTAATGAGCCAAAGTATGATGTGGTGGAGGACGACGTTGACGTGACCGTCAAAGAAACTATTGCCGAGGATGTCGACGGCGCGGAAGGCACCAACGGCCATGTCGTCGCCGAGGAGATCCAAATCGAAGAGACCATCATCGTCAAGGACAAGTCCAGCCCGTTGAAGACGCTTCTTGCCGGAACGCCGAGCTCAACCAGTCCCATTCTCTCCATCTTGACCTTCCTGATCAACTTGGCCCTGGTCGCAATGACGGCCGACTTCCTGTTCCGCGTTCGACAGTACCACCCGGTCGATGACCTCTCCTTTGTGCGTCTTGGTTATGTCTCTCCAACGGAGGCGAAGTTCGTCATTCGCGAACCCGACCAAGCCAAGATGCCCGTCACTCTTGAAATTCACATCAAGGACCCGCAGCCGCCCTTTGACAACCCCATGTGGCAGCTTGGTGGTGGAATGAGGTTCACCGACAACACGACCGACTTTGCGACCACCTTGACCGTTCCCCTGAAGCACTCCCAGCAGAGAATCTACGAATGGCGCACGTCCAACAATCACAGCGGCGAGTTCGTCGCCCCGCCTAGAGCCGGTCTGATGTCGACCTTTAACGACAACAAGTTCACTTTCCTGTCGACTTCGTGCATCCTCCCGCGCTTCCCGTACAATCCATTCGAGCACCCCCTGGCGATTCCGGGCATGCGCCATCTGGCGCGAGTCTTGCCTAATTTGCAGGCGCAATTCATGCTCTTCCTGGGAGACTTCATCTACATTGACGTGCCCAAGCGTCAGGGCAAGAACGAGGAGGACTACCGCCAAAAGTATCGCCACGTCTATGCCTCTCCGGACTGGGCACCCGTAGCGCAGAACCTCAGCTGGATTCACGTCCTCGATGACCATGAGATTGGCAACGACTGGTCTTCAAACACCACTGGCGTGTACCGAGCCGCAATCGAGCCCTGGCACCTTTACCAGGAGCTGGCCAACCCCCCTCCTGCTCGCGTTGCCGGGACGACGAACCTCCGAAGACAAGGCGCCACCTACTTTGAGTTTGTCCAGGGCCCCGCAAGCTTCTTCATGCTCGATACACGCTCGTACCGATCCGACAATGACGTTCCTCCCGACAGCCCGGAGAAGACCATGTTGGGTGCTGAGCAGTTGGAAGACTTCCTCGCCTGGCTGAACCGTCCTGAGCCCAAGGGCGTCAAGTGGAAGATCGTTGCCTCGTCGATCCCTCTGACCAAGAACTGGCCCATCAACCGCAAGGATACATGGGGAGGTTTCTTAGTGGAGCGACGCAAAGTTCTTGAGGCCATGTGGGATGCTGGCGCAAGGGGTGTCGGTGTTGTTGTCGTCTCTGGCGATCGTCACGAGTTTGCGGCCACCAAGTTCCCCCCTCCCGCAGACGGAAGATGGCCAGAGAGCGCCGCCGCGTATGAGTTCTCGTGCAGCCCTCTTAACCAGTTTGCTTCGCCGTTGCCGAGCTATAGGCAAACCGATGACGAAGACGTGTCACTCAAGTAAGTGCAGTCACAGACTGCTGGAGGTTCCATGTTGACATTCATAGGTACATTCACTCTGGCAATTCCAAGTTCGGCTCTTTGACCATCGAGAACTTGGCAGAGGATGAGCAGAGCACTCTCAAGTACAACCTATACATCGACGGCGAGATCGTTTGGAATACCATCATCCTGTCACCCTCGGTCGAAAAGGCCCCCAGCTCGTTTTGGGATAAGTTGAAGGGAAACTAGGATAGACAGATAGACTGGGGTGGGGACGATGGTCCTAGGATATGAATTTGAATCAAACATTATTTCAAGCAACACATGGAGTTGATCTGCTCAGTGTCCAATGCTTCGGGGCTTTCTGCCCATGAATTGAGTGTACACATGAGGTTTTTGCCAGCCTGCAGCTCGGTCCTTGGCCATCGTGAAATCCCCGCCAGTCTCGTCGTGCTCAGTCTCAGGAACATTTAGTTCATCGCATCATCACAAGCTGGCCAATCGCAAAGGCAATTTTTCCAACCAACATCGGCATGCATCCTGCGTTGCGCTACGGTACCCCTCTCCCGGACGATGTTCTCCTGCCCCGGGAATAAGAGACCGGATGACGATCCGCTACGCAACTCCTCAATGACATCGGACTGACTGCCTCACACCAAAAGTGCGGAGAAGAAAAGCCGCCTGCATGCAGCTCCAAGCCCGAGATAACATCACCTTTACCCCATCGAATAAGTGAGCCAAGGTCCTCACCCGTTCACATAGTCAGCCAGACCCTGAGCACCCTCAACTCCCGCAATCTTCAAACTTGAATTGAAAGATAGATAAAAGGGACCAAGAAAAATGGCAATGAAACGCCTCCAACAACTCGGCTCCCAACTCTCCTCGTCCATCTCCTCCAACCCAGACGAGACAGAGACAATGGCCTCGGCCT